GTGGATACTGCCGGCGCAATTGCCCTAAGCACTGGAGTAGGGGACCCGAGATCTTTCGAAAGGAGTGAACCGCCCTTGCTGTTCACGCTATCAGCGTGATGCGTGTTGAATGACAGGCAGGAATGTTATACTGACTGTTAGAAAAGTGTTACGCAAACGGGTTGGAACCCTACCCCGAGACCGTTGCATAAACTTATAGATTCGAGCGAGAACAGTGAAGTTGACGCCAATTTTCGTGAAACATTGAACGAGATTCCTAGATGCAAGGGATTACCTAGGTTGTTTGTGATGATTATAGGGGGGGGGACATTTGAAATAACGACTTCCTTCCATACACTGCTAAAAATGTTATTAGCTATAAGTATATGGGTCGGTAGGGGGCAAAACCTGGATGGGGGTCTGGGGGGTCACTGATAAACGGTATAAGTAGGCTTCCGTTTGCTTGAAAATTTTGAGTTACGATAGGTTGGAGTCGATTCGCCACCGTTTTGCTTGACAAGCACGTATTCGATTCGCGTCCGGCCCCTCGAAACTAAGGATACGAATCACATCCGATTCAGATTGTATTCGTAACTCGTTGGTAATATTAGCATTAATGATATTTTTAGCAGTGCATGGAAGGAAGTTGTTATGTCAAATGTAAAAGAAATTATAAGAAATGCAAAACTGTCAAAATGTACAAAAATTAAAGTTATGACTGCGTTTACGGCCCCGCCTCGCCATTGGGATTGTGCGAATCTGCAAAGGAAACATGTATACGAGTAAGGCGAAAGAAGCTAACTAACAGGTAACGTTTCAATTACATTAAGTAAACTGCATTTATGCTACGCAATCTTAATAGGTCATGTTAAGAATAGACTCACTGTTTGCATTCAACGTATTATTTCGTTTAAGCAAACGGTCGTATGCCCGTTTAAAGGCATTTTTCAGCGCCCTCTCCAGCTGGTGACGGTCGGAGCACTGTCCTCTGTTCCAGTGGTCGAAGACCTCTGTAATAAATTCCATCAGCATACATGCATAACAGGTCTTTCCAAGAACGAACTTATACAGAGGTGTTCCGAAGAACGCCCTCTCTCCCTGTTGTCGACCATAGAAGACGATGAAGGAGGTGATTTCTTCGGAGGACACAACAGTGTCCCCGTCAAGAGAGCACAAGTACGTCACCTAACAAAGTAATGAACACCGTAGTTACGTAACATGTCAGTTGTTGGCGATAGGTGTTGTCGCCGAGAGCATTGACGAGGGCGTCTAGCTGCTCCGGAGTGTCCACCTGCCTCAAGTTGAATCCGCAGGACTCCGATGGGCATATGGACATGCTCCTGAGGCCTTGGAGCAGATGTATCATTGCTGCGTGCTATTGACGCAACTCAGAGACCAGATGTATAAGCATTGCTAGTGATTGCATCATCCATCGAACGCCTTGCCTCATACTAGCCCGCCCTCGCTGGCGATAGTGTTGGTACCCTGGGCGTCCTGTCCGCCGGAGGGTGCTGAACAAACGGTTACTACCTACGCAAGTCGCATACGGGACCTCGAAGTTTACCCGCGTAAGGAGGGGAGGCACAACCTGGTATGGTTGCACGGCAATCTGCTGCTTCGACCTCAGATCCCTGAAACAGAAAATTGGTAAACAACAGATAACCTTACCGACGTTGATCCCACCTCCTGGCACGCTGCGAAAATTGCCGTGGGAGGTACGCATTCAGCGATTTCGGCCTTTCATTAAGCGTACTTACTGCAGCCCTTGACAACCTAGAGGCATTCTCCCTTGGGCTTCGAAGCCATAAGTTCAACAGCCTCCTCATTACACCTAGGCAAACTAAAGGAAGGCAGTCTAAAGGAAGTGAACTGATCATTCCAAGATTACAAGCTAGCAAAGGAGAAATACCAACTGGATGACTGCCATCAGCAGGAGACAAGAACTCCTCATCCGTCCTAGCAGGCGCAGAGACACTGTCGTAGACTACTTTCTCAACGTATTCGCCTTTTACATAGCACCCTTCACAACCGTAATATGCATTAACGTTCTTAATTTGCTTAATGAATGCCCTAGCAGACGCATCACAGATAACGGTTGCCAGGCGGAACTGAAGAGTTCTGTCGATGACGTCGACACGCAGACCAGAACTTGCAAGGGTTCCTAGTTTTCCTACTAGCGGTCTGCAAAATGCCTGAACATCGGGCGGCTTTCCCTGTCCACAATAAATTCCTACTGCAAACAGTTGACTAAGAAATGGCTGGATAATTCTGCCTGAAATTGGCCAAAATTTTCTTTTGGTCTTCTTATGAATAGGAAGACCTTCGATGGCTAAGTACGCTACTATCTCGTCACCTACCACCTGCCTGGAAAAGGCACATAACTGCTCAGTCAACTACCTTACGAGTCCTAAGTGAACGTACTCACCGCTGTCCAATGCCGTTACCGGTGGCAGATCGCCGGCTTCGCCGAGAAGTGTTCGTGCGTCCAAGGGCATGTTTGACACGTCGGCTGGCTTCATCTGCCTCAAAATCTTCAGCAGCTTTGTCAAGTGCTGGTGGGGTATTCGGGAACGAACTGCCCGGGTTCGCAGCAGGTCGCGTGCGGTCACATCCACCCCAGTTGGGAAGGACATCGGACGCTCTTCAAAAGAACTGTGCCACTGTTCAGTCGTCGAGGTCGATGTGTCCTCCGAAGAGGACGTTGGGGCGTCTCTTGACAGCAACAACTCATCTTCTCCATCCTTCCCGATTGGCCTCTGGGATGACCACGCAGATCAAATATTTGGTGCCTACGAGGAGCACCTGTCTGTCAGGATCCACCATCTGAGCCAAGGCGTAGGGACCAGCAATTGTTTCGGCGTGCCGAGCACCGGTCGTCGAGGCTGATGGTCCCGACGCAAGAGCCTCGAGTGTGCATATCGCGAGTGCTAAGGACAGAACCGTCAATCCCAGACTACGGAAATCAGGATAAGACCAGAGTTATGAAGAAATTAACAAGCAAAACTCGAACGACCTGACAATCCAACACATGCCAAGCGCGTCGCGTCGTGTGTTGTGTTCCTTCCATTGAGTTAAACAACCAGTAAGTTCAAGTATGAGGAATAGGTAGGGAAAGGCAAGATGGTCTGGCGTCTCGGCACAGTACCCCCCTCCGAGACCGGAGGGCGGCGAAAACGACGCCGAATGATGTGTACAGGTCAAAAAGAAATGAGTGACCAACCGATCAGGTAAGCGTACATGACGACCACTGCGAATTATATATACAGGGTCCGTAGAAAAGTGAATACATCTGGTGGCGGAAGTGTTGGAGTAAGCGGTGGCAGTCGGAGGTAGCGGACAGGAGGGCAGAGGGAAAGGAATCGTATACGCAGACATGTAATACCTATCGGACAAAGGACTTTGGCAACCGGGCACCGATGATCTAAGATCCACAAACGGATGTCTATTGGTCAGGCATGCTGCCGGTGTGGTTGTTGGACACCCTCTCAAAAACCGGACACATATCCAGTATCTGACGTATGGCCTTGACTATGTCCTAACATGGTCAGAGGAAAATTATCTCTTAATGAACAACCAAAAATCAGTCCGGTGTATTTTCGACTGCGGCCCTCTCCTGCCCGGAACGAACCAACGCGGTCATAAAAGCCGAGTGTATTTAGTTTCCTCACGTGCGTTGATCGCTATACCCGTTGGCCGGAAGCCATTCCTTTACCGAATGTGCAAGCTGAGACCATTGTGAAAGCCTTCGTCAGTCGTTGGGTCGCCATATTCGGTGCGCCATCCATGATTACGACTGATCGAGGCGCGCACTTTGAGTCCACACTTTTCCAAACTCTCCTCAACCTCCTTGGCTGCACACATATTCGGACGACGGCCTACCACCCAGCTGCCAACGGCATGGTTGAGCGTTTCCGCCGCCAGCTAAAAACTGCACTGCGTGCCGCAGAAGATCCCGAAAACTGGGCAGACAATGTACACGTTGCACTTCTTGACATTCGTGCGGCACTGAAATCAGACTTGGACTGCAGCGCAGCCGAATTGGTTTTCGGCACTACCCTCCGACTCCCTGGTGAGATGGTCACCCCAACCTCTCGTGGTGCCGAAGAGACCCCGTAAAATTTTGTGCACCGTCTGGGACAATTCATGCCCTCGCTTTCCCCGGTTCCACCTCGAGCTCCATCGACCGAGCCTTATGTTGAAAAAGGCTTAGCCAACTGCACTCATGCGTTCGTTCGGTGTGATCGTGTGCGGAAGCCGTTAGAATCATCATACGAAGGACCGTTCCGTGTGCTTGCACGTAACAGCAAGACCTTTCGGATCCTGCGAGGTGACAAAGAGGACGTAGTCAGCATCGACCGGGTCAAGGCTGCTTTTGTAGAGGAGCCCCTGGACGTGTCTCAAGGACAAGCATGTGCTGACCCCATACCTCCTCCCACTCCTTTTCCACTTACCCCACCTATCCCTCCGTCCCGTATACTTCCTCTTCCTTCTGGTTCGCAGCATCAAACTGCAACCTCTTCCTCCACCCTTAACTTGTCCACTACAACACCTACTCAGCTGTCTCCAACAGTGCCTCCCGCATATATCACCCGCAGTGGACGTCACGTTCACTTTCCCGATCGTCTAGTTAATCATTTCTTCTAGACCTTTGTATGTCCTCCGGCGTCGTTCACGCCGTCCTCCGGTCTCGGAGGGGGGTACAGTGCTGAAGTACTTGACTACTTGAACTTTGACAATCTTGTCACGTTTGTTTTACTGTAGCATTTGTTTTAACGTGACGAGGACTCCACCGCTTGTAAGCTTCGCGCCGCTTGCATGCTCTCTGGTCAGGTCGTTGAACATTTTGAATATTAACTTTATTCACTTACTGGCCTTCCTTACCTCTCCCCGTTTATGAGGTTAGTAAGCCGTAGTTCGTTAGTTCGCGGGAACGACATAACTTACGTCAATAATAATAATAATAATAATAATAATAATAATTCATAGATATTTTGACAGAATTTGAATGATTCATACTGACCCAACTGTGAAAAACTCGGCGTCTCGGTGGGATTCGAACCCACGCAGCAAGGGGAAGGCTTTAGTACAGCCAACGCTCTAATCACTTGAGCTACGAGGCCCCGCCGGACGACGCGAGTTTAATCATATTTGGATCAAGTAACCCGCCCAACTTACTGCAACGTCTGGAAGCCACCAAATCTGATACAGTGAGTTGACTGTCCAAGCAGGATTTCCTAAGTCATTCACCTAGAATCCACCAGATTACTACCAGGCTCACGTAATTCATAGATATTTTCGCGGGTTTTGAATAATCCATATTGACCCAACGGTAAAAAACTCGGCACCTCGGTGGGATTCGAACCCACGTGTCGTCCGGCGGGACCTCGTAGCTCAAGTGGTTAGAGCGTTGGCTGTACTAAAGTATTCCCCTTACTGCGTGAGTTCGAATCCCACCGAGGTGCCGAGTTTTTCACAGTTGGGTCAATATGGATTATTCAAAACCCGCGAAAATATCTATGAATTACGTGAGCCTGGTAGTAATCTGGTGGATTCTAGGTGAATTACTTAGGAAATCCTGCTTGGGCAGTCTACATACTGTATCAGATTTGGTGGACTCCAGACGTTGCAGTAAGTTGGGCGGGTAACTTGATCCAAATGTGATTAAACTCGCGTCGTCCGGCGGGGCCTCGTAGCTCAAGTGGTTAGAGCGTTGGCAGTACTGAAGTATTCCCCTTATTGCGTGGGTTCGAAACCCACCGAGGCGCTGATTTTTCACAGTTGTGTCTATATCAATAACACTAAAATTAATGATGATAATAATAATAATAATGGCTAGGAGATGGAGCATGCATTTTTTATATTGACCTTTGTCAGTTAACCGCACAATGGAATGGTTGTAGGCAGAAGTACGCACATGGTAAGGAAGGGGGTGTTGATTGCTGTGGAAACAGAAGACTGACAGAGAATTGGTCGAGCAGCCCTTACTGTGACAGGGGACTGCAGATGCGACTCAGAAGACATTGGCGACAATTGTTTCAGCAAGGCGAGGCCCAACCTTTGGAGGTGCGCCGAGGGCGGTGCGTGCGTGCGTGCGTGCGTGCTTGCCCACATGACCTTTGTCCGCCTAGAAGCCCGATCAGCGAATGACACAACGCCGATTAGCGTCAAGCTGTCTCCTCGGCGTGGCTATGTCACATGCGTTGCAATCAGTATCCAATTGGCAGGAAGTGTTATTTAGGCTGCCAGAGGACGTCATGAGAGAATAACCAGACTGACGACCAGGAGAACGGGATGCCACAGGCACACAAGCTCGCCTCAACCGCTGACTGTCCTACCACACAACATCCTCGCAGCCGCCACCGTCACCGTCTCAGGACATGTTAGTTATCAGTTAAACGGTCTTCATCATCAACGCATATATGGGTTGGACTAATGGCATTAAATAGAAGCAACTGGCTGAGCGCAAGCCAGTTGCCAGGGGCTGCCCCAAATCCCACCTTTCGCCTCGACCGATCGTAGCCCTTGGCGGCAGCCCAGTCAGCCGGGATGACTCGCAAACCACATCTTCTTTCAGGTGCATCTGGGACGTCAGTAAAATCGGCATCTCAACTCCTCACCAATTCTCGCGAGCAAAAGTGGAGCTTCACGAGGCGATACTGTTCGTCGACGTGACACTGTTCTTTGCACCCATCTCACCGGATTTGGTGTACAAGGCTATGCGGTGCGTCTTGCATTGAAGTATGGTAAATCACGGGCATGTCTTTACTGATATTGTCATCAATATATTCTGCCCCACAGAAGCAGGTGAGGGAGTAAACACACATAGATGTGGTCTGGCCTGGCAGTTTGTCCTTGTCCTCTCCGTATATGATGGGACTAGTAGAGAAGAGTACAGGGACGTCGACTGCCTGGAAGGTGTGTGATATAGATTGAGTTAGGCGCCTTGTTAAAAGTTCACTTGGCGCGTCCCCTTGAAACGGCACCCTGAGGAAAAGCTTATTTTTGTCTGCCGTCAGCCTCGAGGGCTTTGGTAGTCTTTCGGTCACGTACCTAGCAATGAATACATCGAGGTACCCGTTCTGGCGAATGCGAATTTCAACAATCTTAAGTTCCACCTCAGTGCTATCAGCTGAGCAGATCCTCCTTACTCTTTGTGTCAAGCAGCGCCTTATGTTTAATGGTACGAACCTCCTATAATTCTTGTATCGTCCGGACCACGTCTTCTTACGATAGACGCGACGTCGAATACTACCTGCAGGCCTTCCGCTCAAAAGCACATACAGAAAGAGGAGCGATCTGGACTGTTTTCCTTCAAGCGTGAATCTGATTGATGGGTGTGCTTGATTGATTTCGTCCCGTGGGACTCAAACGTCGTTTTGTTTAGGTGCAATCCCGAATATATCATCCACATAGCGTTCATAATATCTCAGACCATTGATCTGGCGACGAAATTCGAAAGCTTCTAACTTGCCCATGAACATATTCGCCAAAAGCTACCCCGTCGATTTGTCTATATGGATTGTTGTAAAATAGAATCCGTACTTTGAAGGTACATCCCAGCAGCGATTCTTTGAGAGCATTTACCGCATTCCTATATCATGATTATTGGATGCAAGGGCTTCATAGAGGTAGTTGACGATTTCTGTGACCGGTACGTTCGTACAAAGAGACGAGACGTCCAGCGAAATCATAATCTTTCGGTTAAAGTCGAGATTTTTCATGCTGTAAACGAATTCATAGGTATACCGAAAGCTACAGTACCTGTGCTAACTCATGTGATGCTAGCCGGTATTGTATGGGCTTTAGTTTCTCCGCTAGCCACATCGCTATAGCATGGCGCGGCGACTTTCTCATGTCTAGAATCGGTGTACCATGTATGTGGATATTTGTCAAGCCATATAACTGAGGTATATGTGTGCCGACATGCGGGAGACGCTCTAGGTCGTATTCGCTAATGAAACCATTCGTTTGAAGTCTTTTCAAACAGTCGGTCGGCAGAGTTTCAACCTCATTTGTTCGATACTTTTGGTTTTCTGCCTTTCTGAAATGTGCCTGGTCCGACAGGATTGACTGGATTTTCCAATTTAGTCGGCTCTATCCATCAAAACAACACCAGTTTCCTTATCTTTGCCCTGTCGGGGTTGCTTTAACTCCTCAATATGTAACTTCGTCAGCATGCCTCGATATTTCGGGACAGGAATCGCTCACGCCTGTGTGATGCATGTTCTTTCACACAACCCGATGCTTTGTCAGATCGCGTCAGCGATCGCACAGACGGACTGTTTGCAGCTTTGTCCACCATTGCACCCGATCCCACCTCCGCACATCTGGACATTGTCTTTCCATCGGAGCCCTGTGGGTGTGGGAGGGAGGGAGTGGAGTAGATGTTGCTCAGGTCAGCCTCACAATAAACGGATTCACGCGAACCTCGCCTGTGCTGCCTTCAGTCTGTGCGGCACACGGTGGAGTTCGCCAACGGCTGCAATTTCCTTAACCAGTCCGCAGGTCGCCCGAGACTCTGAAACAACTGCTGGGCCTATATGAGCCAAAAAGTGTCTCCGACGATGATCCACAAACAGACCTATTGTCAATGACTGATGGGACTGGCGGTGGATTGCAGTCCGTTGTGAATATTGACGTGGCTGCAGTTGTTTGACTTTGGCATAAACTGCACTCTTCCGTACAGGTTTCGTGTACACAGTCAGTTGCGAGCATGAGCTAACATTTAGTCATCTCGCAGTCTCGTAGGGGCACATTCAAATAACCTAACCAGCCGATGAGGCTGACGGAGTAGCGACAGGCAGGGGGAGTGGACGTAGACTGATGGCTAAGATGATGGGACGTCTCTGTTTTACGTGCGACACACATACGAATGTGTGTGACGAATGCTTGATAGTGTGCGCTGGTGGACGGAGAGGACAAAAGGGAGAAGATTAAAGTACGCAAACACGCCGGAAAATCCTGCTGGGATTAAGAACGGGCTTGCCGCATATTAGGGGCTTATTTGAAGGTTCCTTTTTATCAAAATTCCAAAGGAGTCCAGGTCAACATGAAGAACCAGCGTATATGACCGGCAACAGACACGCTGAGATATCACATTTGGCCTTGATTTTGGGCAACAAGCCATCATGATGCGGCGTAGTCATGCTGAAAAATACTTGGCATTCGGGATATGTGCTTTGTCTAGTTTCCTCCAGACCAATGTGAGACATGGCAAGACGATGATTGTTATAATAGGAGCATATTGAGAATCGAGCGATGTGCGTAGAGGTGATGCACATCTTATTTCGGAGTTGTCTAGGTCAGTGCAGAGCAAAGACAGGTTGTAGCAGTCCCTGTACATACACGCTCGCTGCTTCCTCCCACCTCACTATGAGAAGATATATTTAAAAGCCGAGGTCCAATCATGTGTTTAAATATTTTATTTCAGGAAGGCGGAGGAGACGCAACCGTGGAAATACGAATTGACCTTTCAGGTTCACATCAGAGACAGCATCAGATCATGGCGAATGATGCAATCCTTGTGCATGCTTTCACTCCCTGCCCGCAGGCCGGTGAGCCAGATGGCCGAGCAATCATCCCGCCAGCATGCAACACGAGTGATGAGATTTCAGCAATTGACAACTTGCATGCAGTCCATGAAGCAATTAGCGCACCAGCGGGCAACAATCCTGGATGAGGGGGGGGAGGGAGGGCGATTAATTATCATTGGCATGCAGTGGCATAGCGACTGCATCCTATAAATACTGCAACCTCCCGTGCGCGAATCACCCGTTTCTGCTACTGCCTCTGATGATGGCTTCGAGAGAGAATCCGAACCGTCGGACGAATAAGGCTCTAATTCCAGCGATCGTTTCTACTTCTTACCAAATGACACAACGCCGATTGGCGTCAAGTCGTCTCCACGACGTGGCCATGTCACGTGCGTTGCAAATGGCAGGAAGTGTCAGGCTGACAGAAGGCGTCGTCAGAGAATAAAAGACTGTCGACCAGGAGAACGGACTGCCACAGGCATACAAGCTCGCCTCAAGCGCAAAATGTCCTACCACACAACATCCCAGCCACCGCCACCATCGCAGGGCAGGTTAGTTGTCATTTTTTCTACTCTTCATTCACATGGGAATTTTCTTATATGTACATCTGTTGGCCTATTTCGCGAATTATATACATGCATTTTCCCCTCTTTGTTTATCTGAAGTACAATAATGAGGTCATCGTTGCTTTTTAATTTCCTTAGAAATTAACTGCAAACCTGGAGTACATCTGCATCCTTAAGGTCTTTAGGCTCAGACCAAAGTCTGCATGTATGAATATTTCGGCCGAAGTCCATCAGCCATGTCGGTATACTACGCTGGCAGACTTCTGATCTTCTGGTCACCACAGTGATTGACCGATATCATGAAATATTGGCGGAAATGCTTCGATTGGGAAGAAATACTTGGGTGGGATTGTAACATTGATTATCATTCAGCATAATGCTATAGAATTTCGTACTCGCCGGAATGTCGCCATTTGAATGCACTTGCTTACAATCTTCTGAAGAAACCACGCTGGTTGAAAAATGACTACATAGTTAGTATGAATTTTTCACATCAATTTTCGCTGACAAAATAAATTTAAATACATTATATAGAAAAGGCACAAAAATATGCTTTCTTTTAGTTGTTTGGTAGAAGGTCACATCCTCTTTACATTTTATACCCCAAGCAATTTTATCCTTCGCTTTTAACAAAGTTTTTCATTACGAGATTTCTAAGACCGGGCGATGTCCATTCATTCAGCATGGCACACATCAGTTTCACAGTGCTCCTCATGAAATGTACAACATAGTCCACATCCATTACAGAATTTCATGAAATCCATATAGTATCTTCTTAAGGGTATAGAGGAGTATGTGATTTTCCTTACATGGAAAGCGTACACCTTGCAGACTGCAAACGACTAGCGCTAATGCAGTGGCAGATCAGGCTCGAAATGATTCGGGAATTGGGAAACAATTTCAAAACTGAAATACACACTTTCGGGTAAAAAATGTGAGCACAATGTGGTTACCGACCAAACGTGTAAATGATGCATATTTTGTGCATTTCTTCTACAAAATATATTTGAATTTATCGGCTCAGACGAAAATTAATGTGAAAAATGCATGCAGAATAAGTGATCATTTTTACAGATTGTGGTTTCTGCATGAGGTCGAAAAAGAGTGCATTAAAAAGGCAACATTCTGGCGAGTCCGAAATACTATTGCGTTATGCCGTGCGATAATCAATGTTACAACCCAACCTAAGTAATCCTTCCTAACCGAAAACTCCATTCAGAATTTCGACCAACATTTCATGAGACCGGTCACGAGATGTATCTGCTTTGCATGCCCCATTTTTATCCACTGTGAATAGAGGCCTACTTGCTGAAAATTTTAGAATGACACTTGCGAAATGAGATCTATCGTGCTCCCTCTCTCCCTCTCCCTCTCTCAAACACAGGCGAAAGAACGAATGATGTTATATAAATGCGACTGACAGGCAGAGAAGGCCTCGATGATGCCGGCTAGATCAGGCATGATCGCAGCCGTACCATGGTGAAGAAGAAGAAGAAGACATGAGGGACAGCCCTACACACATCCTGTCAAGCTGGGTCACACGAAAACCATAGATCTCAGACCTCAATTAAATCACCATGAAAATATCAGACTGAGCCCCGAAGACGAGACTGAACCTTTACGTGATCGTTTTATATTTGGACACAAGATTGCATTTTGCATCAATCGCGACCGGCCTGGTACGCGAACCTACGAGAAGAGGCCTGCATTGGAACAGGACGAAATACGGTGCCCTCTTAGTATTGGACATGTCTTCATAGATATTGCATCCACAGTTAAATAGTGTTACAGGTCGATGCGCCCTGTCTTTCGGGACAAATTGCACATTTATCTGCATTTATGCTGTACCAGAGAATACAGAGGCACTTGTACGGGCATTTTGCAATTTTAAAAATCCACCTACAGCTTCTCCTATCGGAATCATTGTAGAGCGTGCATGTTCAATCTCCATGGACTTGGTGGATGCTGAGGACTTCTCGTCTCCTTCCTCCTTCCGAATCGGCCTCAGCAGGGCTCGCCGCAAAAATCAAATGTATGGTACCTACGAGGAGGCCCTTTCCGTCAGCATCCGCTATCTGCGCCAAACGCCAAGGAATCAAGAATATCCTGCTCATTCCCTCCCTCCCTCCCATCCTCGTCTCCGCCATCACTGATTATGACGTCTTAAGAGAAATGCTTGTTCTCCATGGCGGCTTCGTGTAGCGTATATTTACAAACTGATGTAGATGTAGATCAGGATACACCTTTAAAGTCGCATGCGGAAATACGATATACAACTGACGCAGATGCCGTCGACCACAATACGTAGCCAATTTGTACACTCTGAAGATTGGGTGGGGATGCTAGCATACAGAGACCGCTCATTGGCACACACGTCAGAAAAGTATTGCTTTTAAGGCACGCCTGGATATTGAACTGTCTTGAACACACCTATGTCCCACAAGGTCCTGGGATTCAATAGCCTTCGATGTTTTCATTGATCCTTGATGGCGGACAGGAGTGAGAGTTTGAGACGTCGCAGTAGTATCATGCTAGATCTGGGTCTTTTCTTCTGCAAATATCTTACCTGGCTTGCAGGTAGTTACACATCTCACGCCTGTAGATAAGGATAAAACGGACAGACAATCTGTCGGCCGTATTCTCCAGAATGACGGCCCGCAGTGAAACCTGTCCCGATAATGACAGGCAGTGATGCACTACCTGGACTTCCTGCGAAAATTGCAGCAAAGGTCCCTTTTTCTGAATGATGTACAGCAGATCAGCGCCGTGCATCAGTATGAATGTAATCTTAGAGCACTTTATGCAAAAGGAGGATTTCGCCCGGTCGTCGCTCACGATCATTCATTTCTAGATGCTTGCTTGCGGAGATAATGCTGCATGAGGGTACTGTGTGACGGATACACGACAAAGCCTTCGTGCTGTGTGCACACTGGTGTAAACTATGCATGGCAAAGGTGTCTGACGTCTGTTGACAACGTATTTCTCTCCGCCCCCATCTTCCATCCCTTCCTGTCTGCAGGTTTACTGTGATGGACTCTCATTCGTCGGACTGCGTTCTCAGCATTCCAACCTCACTCATGCCCGCTCGCCAGCCCGCGACTGCAGTGATCCCGAGGCCCTGCTGTAGGATGCCAGACTTGACGTGAATTTGATACAGCAGTTGGGCCAATTGCCCATCTCCTGCGTCGGCTGGTCAGAGGGCGACCAGTTAGCCATCCGGACAGCATCAGACTTGAATTTCGACGGTCAGCCGCGTTTACATTGGCCAGTTCTGCTGGTGGCGCATTAGGCCATTTGTCCGGAAATGCGCTCATTATGGGTGCTGACACCAATCACGTGTCCCCTGACATTGCGATTTAATGATCTGTGTCTGTACTCCTCATACACTGTTTCTGTTAATGCTGACGAGTACTAAAATAAAAAGCGCGATAAATGCACCGAAAGATGTGCTATTTTTTCCCAAATATTGGGATGTGTCATCTGGTTGAAACAGTTACTGAAGTGAATTTGGAAGAGGCGATGCCAGAATGCGCATTCTGCCAAGTTATCTCATTGGCTGTTGCCTGCTGATTTGCAAAGTCACCTGGATATTGTATGAAAGCAGGACGAAATACGTTCGAGACCGTTTTGCTCAAAGCTGTGAGCTAGAGGGTCCACAGATAGTCGCACAGCAACCCACCTTCATATATCAGACCTCTTCTGATTGTCATTGGGGTGTTTCTGTTTATTAAGGGGAAAACCATTGATATGTGTGAAGGTGTCAAAGGAATTTTGTACATTACGCCGGACAGCTGCCAGCTAGCCGGAAAATAGTAATCATTAACGGTTACTTCCTACTTACAAGTAGCACAGACACACACGTTAGTGTCGGGTTACGTGAGTGGATGTGAGGCTGGTGATTGGGAAGCATGATAAGCGTCAAGTGTACACTGCACAGAATTCACACAGGAGGCAACTACAACATCGGTAGGCAGGGCATTCCACGCTGCAACTACTCTGTTACTGAAAAAGAACCTTCGTCCATTGATCCTTTCTTTCCCTGCGCGTAGTTTTAGGGGATGACCGCGCAAAGTGGGCGTGTTAGCTTGAGTAAACTAATCAGTGGGATCTAAACAACAGTCTAGGCCGTTGATAATGCGAAATGTGAATATAAGGGAAACCGGTTGAGAGTTGACAGTCTGGTTTCATAGGGCAGTGCTGCCAGACCTCGTGTATGTTTGTTCTTGCCTAATGAAATACTACTTTGTCATTTAAATGTAACTCTGCCTTTGGACTTAGGCGTACGTCTGTGGGGATACCAACTAATAATAACTGGACGTGGTCTTAGCTATGTGATGAATTAGGATATTGGATAAGGACCTTTATCAGTTAGTGGAATAATGAAATATTTGTAGGAAGGGGTACGCACATGGGAATGAAGGAGGCATTAGTGGTAACGGGTTACCCGAAAGGGGGAAGGTGTGATGGGTAGGCGGGAGGTCGGAAGTGAACGTTGACGCACTGGCCCAGAAATCTGCACAGCTCATCTACGTGAGCCACACAGGATCAGTTTGAATTCACACACACACACACACACACACACACACACACACACACACACACACACACACACCAGTTGAAATCCGGCAGGGACTAGAACGGGGATAGATGATAATCCACAATTAGTTGGAAGCTAACTCCCATCAACTGTGGGGAGGAAATTTCACATAAAACAAAGAACTATATATACATGGGGGTAACAGTGGATGCCTTGTGAAATCAAGTCAGTCAAGACAGATGGCGTTGATTTTTTCGGCGCATTTCCCTGTCGTGTTGGCTGGCAATCATGGCGTCTAAGATTCGTCTTCGGTGCCATTTCTAATAGATTTTGTCAGTCCACATCAAGATCAATTCGCCGTAGCAATTGGAACGTGAGTAAAAGCTCACCGACGTCTTGTCGATAGTGGAGACGATAAAGGTTTAAGGCTGTCAGGCGCTTTTCGTACGTCAAATATTTCAGTTCAGGGACAAGCTATATAGCACGTCCTTGCACACCACCTTCGAGATGAGCTATGCCCTCCCGAAGTAACGGACGCCAAGCCTGTACCACATACTCCATGTGTGTCCACACAAATGTTCCCTATACATCACCGACGATATCGGCATCCAGTTCGTGCAAGGTTCTGCCCACAGTCCTCGAAGTTGACGTTGTCTGCACTGCGATGTTACGCTCACATCGTCTTTAATGAATACTTCACACACATATACGGTGAAGGCTGACCTATTCAGTATGTTGCGACCTATCAAACGATATGGGTTGTGAGATGACCAACTGCATGGGGGAAGACAGCAGTAGAGGCCGGATCTGCTGTGCAGAAATTCGGTAGTGCTCAGGACGCTATCCGCCCCACCGACAAATGCGCGGCCACATCTGAGACTGTGCACACGCAAGTCTGTTCGTTAGGGTGCTTTACCTGAAAATCGACCCAGAGGCATGGAAGGACGTCGCGGAAGATGGACAGGAGTGGCGCATTAGCGTAAAGGTTGGATTAGCAATGTAGGAAAACCAGGAGTGTAGCCGGCAACACTCAAATGCTACGGATAAATACTGTCAGCACCCAAAACCCTGGCATCACTTCCACACCGTGAGCGGACCTTCGGGGACGGACCGACTTCACAACACACAACCACTACCGCCGCCATCGCCGACGCCGCTGCCACCACTGACAATACCAATGAGGACACTCCTACCTACCTGCAAAATATTACCACCACCGCTCCTCCTCCTCCTCCTCCTCCTCGTCCACCAACATTTCATGAGATCGGTCACGAGCTGTATCTTCTTTGCATGCCCCATTTTTATCCACTGTGGATGGAGGCCTATTTGCTAAAAATTTTGGAATGACACAAAATGAGATCTATCGCGATCGCTCTCTCTCCCACAGGCGAAAGACCGAATAATGTTTGCCAGTCCTAATAATCAATGCAGAGCTCATTTTCCGTTTACAGTGAAAGCATTAATAGACGGAGACGACTTCGACAGCCATCACCCTCTCTTCTCCAACCCCTTCTCGGTGGCTTGCTCGAGTCAGGCGGTCTGGGAATGAGGAGACTGGGTACAGTGGCTGAGATTACCTGACATTCCTATTTCCGCTGTGGGAAACATGGGAAGCAATAAAACCAAATCCAACAACACATTCAAATATTAAAGACAAATTGGCACAGGTTTGGTTGCATTTATCGCGCATTTTATTTCAATACCTATCGACCTTAACATTAACAGTGTGTAAGGAATACAGATCATTAAATCGAGACGTCGGACAAGAGGTCGGTTGACACGAGGTGGATGTCAGCACCCATAATGTGCACATTGCCGGACAAATAACTATATGCGTCACCAGCAGAGCTGGCCAATCAAAATGCGACTAACCGTCAATATTCAACTCCGATGCTGCCCGGATGGCTGACTGAGCGCCCTCTGACCAGCCCACGCAGGAGAAGGGCATATGACCCAGCTGGCACATCAAATTCACGCCAAATCGGGCATCCTGCAGCAGGATCTGCGGATCACTCTAGTCGCGGACGGGGGAGTGCTGGAACAGTAACCTGGTGGATCAAAGCCTATCGCAGTGAACCTACAGCCGGGGGGAGAGGGTGGACAGACATACCTTGTCGGTCAGTAGACTGGGTAGGCGTGGGGGACGGGAGGCAGGCAGTTCTCTGGAACTTCAGCCGTGTATACTTGACGCACACGTGCTCATGGTCTGAGAGGGGGATGGTACTCTATCGGTTACACGGTACTGCCATGCAGCATTATCTCCGCGACATTTGCGCCTAAGGCAGACCACGCATTGGATGCGCTGCATAGCCACGGGGAACTAGATCGGAGTCTGGCAGGCCTTATTGACGATGCTCACCTCATAACACATGCCGCATTTGGGGTGTGACGGCACGTCCAATTCGTAAGAAGACACAACACCAAGCCCCATGGAAGACATGCATCGTAATCATTCATGAAAGAGACGAGGATGGCGGGAAAGAGGAGAATATTGTTGGATCCTGGGCGACTGGCGCAGATGGTGGATCCTGGTGGAAAGAACCTCCTCTTAGGCACTAAACATGTGGTTGATGTGGTGATTACTGAGGCCAATTGTAAAGGAGGGAGGAGATGTGTCGTTGCTGAAACTGTTGACGAGATGGCGCAGTATTCGACTACAGACGAGCAGTCCTCTGCGTCCACCCAGTCGATTGGGCTTAAACATGCACTTTCTGCAATGATTCTGGTAAGAGAATATGCAGTTCGATTTTTTAAGATTGCAAAATGCCAGCACAAATGTCTCTGCGCTATCTGGTACAGCATTAGATGCGGATATATGTGAAATTTTTTCAGAGAGACAAGATGCCTTGACCTGTAGCATTAGTTAAATTTGGATGCAATATAAATATGTACATGCCGGATCTTCAGAGGGCTCAGTTCTGTGGCATCCGCTCCAGTGTCCC